AAAGCAACTGGGGCGGGGGTTGCGACGTCACCCATCAAGATTTCGTTCTTGCCGGGTGGTGTATTATAGCAATTGTTTAGGTGAGTTGTTGATGGTGCTTGGATATCCTTCGGAAAGATTCTCCAGTATAGTGAGTGTCAATCAGCTGACGTGTGGCTTGCCCCAACTGTAGATTTCCCGCCGATTTCCTGGTTTGAAATCTCCCATATAGACTGTGGTCACTAGTTGTGATGAATCGCAGATGTGGTTCCTCACTTTTTTTCGCCTCACTTGTCATGTGTTACGCGTCGACAAACAGCTGGCCGGGGGAAACAAGTTTGTTTCCCGGGTGCACTCATTGGTGGCAAGATCTATTTTCCGGGCTTGCAGCGTTGCTTACTCAGTAGAACCAGAAAATGAGCTTGCCATTTATTTGCGTAGATTTCCATCCTGCTGTGGATGCACAAAGTCAATTTCGCGCCAGTTGGGATGAATGAAACCCTTGCAATGGGACAAATTACTAATTACTTGTAAGGTGCGAAGCGGATTCCTCCCTCAACCGTAGGATGCCATTGTGAGCTCCCCATCCAGCGAAAGGGCGATTTTCTGTGTCGAGGTCATACAGAAGGCCCATATTGATGTCGCAGATTTCAGGTGATGTTCCCTTGCCGTGTTGATTTGCATCCTGGTGGAAACCCGGGACAAAACCGAGGATGTAGCCCGTGATGCCCCAGTGTGGACTCCTGGGATGAATTGGCTCCAACCCAGGTTCCTTTTGTCATCCTTTTGTCCACTACTTGGCTCAGTTCAAGGACTTCGTCTGACCCCCCAGACCAAACCGCCCAAAGAAGAAAAATTACAGCTAAGCCTTGTTTAGGGCTACCTGGAGTCTCTATGACCCGAAGAAAAAAAAACATGGGTCCGTGACCCCTTTATTTTGGGTAAGGATCAACCTTTCCCTCTTATCTACTGTGATTCTTGGCTTGTACCTAAGAGGTATGCTCCAGGGGTGTGGTACAACCTTCGACCAGTAGCGGAGAAATCTGACTAGGCCTTCCCAATCGCTGGAACATTGAAACCCTGGCCACGGAAGTATGAGTTTCCCTCGATGATGTTTTCCGGCGAGCCCTGTTCCTGTCCTTGGGGGTTCAACCTGGGGTAAGTAGGTTATTTCACCATGGTCATAACTGCTTGGTAGTTAGCTGGTTGGTGTTCGTCCCCTTACCGTGGCTATAAGCTACAACCTACTAAGTACTTGTAGTCTCCATGACTCTTGGAATATGGGGTCATGCGAAGCCTAATGTTGGGTACCGACCCTATTTTTCAATTGTTATGGAGACTCCTACCGTAGGTTGAACACCCAAGTTCTTTCTCGGTGATCCGCATCTCTTGTTCCTTTTGGTTCTTCCACAGTTCTTGGTGGCTCCCAGCCCATCCCCTTAGCTTTTTGGCTTTTTAGGGTTTTGTGGTAGTTTCCATTTGACCCACTCAATGTGACCTCCCAGTGCTCTTCAAGTGGTCATCTAGCACTCCTTGTGTGATCTTCTAGTACCAATCTACTTTTCTTGTGATTATCGAGTGCTCCTCTAGTGGATTTTCCAGTGACTGCCAATGATCTTCCATGGTGCTTCGGTCAGGCGGCTGGCTGGACCTTTACACGGAAGCCGGCTGGTCCTGCCTCCGGCGCCGCTTCCTGGGCCAAACGCACCCGGAGGAAGTCAGGCGAGTTTTTTTGGTCGAGTCCCGCGTCGCGTTTCATCTGGGGAACAGGCGACGAGGAGGAAGATTGGTCAAAGGCAAGGAGCTAGAGCCTCCATGGCCCTTAAGGAATGGGGTCATTACCCGGGTCTTGGACCCATTGTGGGTCATGAAGACTCCAGGCGAGTTGGTCGAATCCGCGTCGAATCCGCGTCGACTGGGGAACAAGCGAATTCGGAGAGAAAAATGGAACAAAAGGGAAGGAGCTACCAATAAATGGGTTGCAGGATGTTATACACGCCCGGTGGCCCATTTCTGCAAGCGAAACCTTGGCAGAACCCGGAATTCGGTGCCCAAAAAATACGGCTTCCCTTTCGGTCAAGCCGCTTTTTGGAGGAATCAAATACCTGGAGTTTCCATGAATGGGGTCATTGCCCTGGACCCATGTTTGAGGGTGGAGACTCCAGGTAGACAATTAGTAGGGGGTTGAACGTTGAAAACCAAGTATAGGATCAATAAACAAAGTAGGATTATGTTTAAAATGAGCTAAGTACAACATAAATATCCTATAGACATAACCCCATTCTGATTAGTTACTGTAGGCCCTATTCAGTTGTTCCCCATCCATCATTGAACCCTGGGCAAGGGAGAGATAATTCTTTAGTCACTGTATAGTGTATAGTTATCGTATCCCGAGGGCGGCCTGAAGGGGGAAAGGTCAAAGGCCTTAAGGCCGGGTTTCCGAGCCATGTGCCTTTTTGGAAGCGCCGAACAGTGGCGTTGGTTTCAAGTTGGCAAATCGATCGACTTTTGATGAAGGGGAATCCCGGCAGCCCCTGTGGTACTCTTTTTTGTTGGGTTCTGCTTGGTTTGTGTATTTTGTGGCTTTGGGCTTATCAGTCGCTTTCCCGAGAAACCAGGGGCTAAGTTTGAAATGCATGTCCACGGCTAAGGGTGTATTACACAAATCAATGGGCGAAAACCAACGTCTAGTTAATTTTCCATATATATATATATATATGTGTATATATATATATATATTATATATATATATATATATATATATTTGCAGTACCCATAAAATTATCCAATGGAGGGGAGCCACTTTTAGTTGATTGGACCATGCGTTATGGACCATGTGTTGATCGGGGGTGGACTTATGTGCTTGTTTGTATGGACCATGCGTTGGGGGAAAGCCAAATTTTCCAGGGAAACCCACCGGAGTCTTCCCCGGCCGACCCGCCCTACGAGGCGTGCAGAGATGCGGGAAGAAGCCCAGAAGGTGCTCGTGCAGCTCTCAAAGGCCGCGGCGTTTTTTTCCCCCGTTTTTTTTCCGCCGTGGATGTTTGGGCCCACGACGTCCTGGACTGAACAAAATGGCACAACTCAAAGACTTCGAGTGTTTTGGTTTTAAAGGGAAACCATCACTGCTGGAAACATGGTGCTTGCCTGCTTGCCTTGGGACTTCAGCAAAGGACCATTCGCCAGGAGAGCGCCCAGACGGCCAGCAAGAAGGAGGAGGAGCTCGAAGAGGAGGAGGAGGCAGAGCTGCCTGCGCTGCTCCTCGGCCCTATAGAAGTTAAGCCAGTCAGTCATTTGCTGTGGTGCTACCTACTGCAAATACAATCTTTTTTCAGCGACCCTCTACTAAAACAGGAGGCCGCTGTAATTGGGGTTAACAGGGATGGCCACCCGCTTGATAGTAAGTATATCCCTATTAGCCAGTATAATGATTTTCTATCAAGGTAGCCATGACCATAGGGATAAGGTAAAACGAGCTCATGTACATCCTTTACTCGGGATCCAATTATTATTTCAGGTTTTGGACTTCTAGAATTGCTTGCTGGTTTTGAGGGAATGGCCCCTACAAACCATTCCCTATAACTTCCTCATTCGGGAATCCCTTTTCGGTACATTCCCAACACCCGGACTAGGTCATTCCCTACCTATCGTACCAACAAGATTCTTATTTTGATGTTGGACGTATAGAATTCTAGGAATTATTGTACTGGTTACTAAGGATGCTTACAGGTGGATCACCATCCCTGTTGACCGCCAGAGTGACGTTCTCCACTAGCAGAAAAACGGGGTGGAGGGTCCCAATTCCGTTTGTCTAGTCTAGTCTTCCCGATAAAAAGGGACAACTATGCATGGAGCCATAAATAGATTTCCAGGGGTCACCCCCCTCACCCAGTTCCGTTAACGGCGTGGGGATATGATGTTGTTTTTTGTTCCGGATACCAGCTATGATGAATAGCAATTGTATCTCAAGAAAGTAGGGGACCCAAACCCCCCCCCCCGCCCCCGCCTACCAGCTATGATTTAATAGCAATTGTAACTCAAGAATATAAGGGACCCAACCCCCCCCCCTCCGCCTCCTTAAAAAGAAAGAAAGAAGAAACAATCACCTTTTCACCTTTGTAGGGCCACCAAAAAGAATCAAGTCCTGCCGGTCTGCAGAACTGTCTGCTGGATCCCCACCTCTGGATCAGAAAATCAGCCCTCGCAGGCTGAAGGAGCTCGGGGAGCTGGAGGCCTGTTGGATTTTTTCGGATTTCTCGCGTCGAGTCGAGTCTCGGGGTAGCTTTTTCCCCCGTGGGGACTCCGAATGGGAGCCGGAAATCAAAGCTGGAGCTTTTGGGCCACGACACGAAAAGACAAGGAAGCGGGAATGGTTCATGTTGATGTTGAATGCAGGGATCCGAAGCTAGAAAGCCTCCTTTGAAACCCGGGGAAAACGGCCAGTGAAAAGAATTGGAATCATCCCCTCGAAGTGTGTTGCCCTACCTTCTACTCCAAAATCCGACCAAAAGAAGCGGGTTCCGAAACATAACCTGGTTTTCAGAGGAGACACCTGGGTTTCTTAAGAGGCATAAGGGAAACTACCGGGTTTTGCCCTGCTTTCCCTACTCCAGAGGTGGTTCGCAGCCACCTCTTGGTGTCATTCAAGTAGCCACCTCCCAACGACCTCTTCAAGCCCTAAGGCATCTTGGTGGCTCCCGGCCAGTTGGGACAGCCCAGTGTGGGTGTGAAATCTTCAAGAAGCTAGCACCACGGTGAATGAAGCCACAACGTTTGTGGGTATTTACGTCCGGGAATCATGTCATTCCGTTGGGGTTCTGAGGGAACCGCCTCATTCCATTTGGGTTTCTGAAAGGTGGTAAAATCGAGATGGATGTCGCTACCATCCACAGTATCACCCAAAACGGGGGGTGACTTGGGGCAAGTAGCTCAGACTTTGAGTGGTGACGTTGTGGTCGTTTTTTGGGGAGGGGGTTCCCGATACAAACGCAATTGGGCCATGGCCCCTTTCTTTTGTATGGATAGGTTGAGGGTTCAGGGTACCATTCATGCAAGAAGTGGAACCCCTGCAAATTCCCCCAGGGCTTTCTTGCCACGACTCCGGTCCTTTTGCGAACCCAACGCAACGGACGACCCAGGTTTTCCAGTTTCCCGGAGCGTGCAACCGCGCGACCGTTGGGGGAACCCCGTAGCCTCGGCAGGCCAAGAGCATCTACACCCGGGACTGGAGAGAAGCCATCGATCCGGTGTGGGGAAGGCGGTACTTTGTGAACAAGTGGTCAGGACTCGATTCCGATTGGCGATTGGCACGCGACTCGCACGGGACTCGCGACTCCGACTCGCACGGGACTCGCGACTTGCGACGAGCCAGGCAAATCAAGACCCAAAGAAAGTGGGCAACAGCGGTTAACCCCAGAAAAGGGTTCCGTGCTTCGCGACTTGCTCCCACGATGCGACGGGCACCCAATCAAACCCAAACAAAGTGGGTCTGTTTCAATGAACAACTGGGAAAAGGACCGCCCGCAGCCCCGCCCAATGTTTAGAGGATCAGAGGCTTGATGATTGATGGAAAGGGCCAGATGTTTGCAAAGGGCCAGATGAGGTCAAATATGGCCACTAGCTGGTCAAAACTGTTGCTTCAACTGGGTGTCCTCGGAAAATATTTTGCATTTGAGGATGGCCTAAATCTGACATGCCATCTGAAAATGTGTTTCGGGGTGTTCCTGGGGTCAGGACCGTTTCCTGGGACAACGTTTGGGGCAACATCCTATTTGGTGTTTCCTCCCCAAACCTATTTCACAATATTTGAAGGTTAAATGTGAAGCAAAGTCTGAACGTATGATTTTCTGTGTACCCCAGATGTAAGCCGGTAGTATAGCTGTACTTTCTAGATCGAGGGTCATTGGTCCCGGGAACGAGACCAGGGTTGAGGGGGTTTAGTGGCTGAATAAGCCTTGGCGGAAACAAGAGAGGACCCGGGAGACTGAGTCGAGGGCAGTTTAGAGGCGAGGCGAGGGTCCGTAACGTTTGCTCAGGAGTGATCCACAAGCCCAACCGACCGTTACGGCCCGTATGCAGCCCTAGTTGTCTTAGCAAGGCTTATTTTTAGCCCTATCCTCTTTGAACGGGGGTGAAAGGGTCACTTCCTTATTGTTGTCCAAGGTATTGGAGCAGGGGCACCCGCCAAAGTGCCGTTGTGCTTTCCCTTTTCGCCCCAGTGATTCCCATTTCCCTGTATGGGTAACCAAGGACACCACCCTTGAACCAGAGAAAAGGACAATGGATGGGATTCACTGGGCCGGGTGAGGTGATCTATACCAAGTCAAACCCATGCGTGTTCCGGAAGGGCGAACCCCGTTGAACTGGCTTCTTTGTGTTTTTGGCCTTTGATTGAATGCCAACCAAAAGAAAGTTCCCGCATGTCCAGATAAACCGTTCTTCCACTGGTCTTGGCATGTTTTTCGTTTGTTGTTGTGTTCATGTTGACTTGGTGGTTCCCGCCCGTCCGCTTAGGTTTTAGGCTGTAGTGGGGGTTTCCATTTGAGCAGGACAACCGAGTTGAATGGAGGGCTGCAACACACAGCTTGTTCTGCCACCAAGTTTTGCAAAGTTTAGGGGTGAGGCTTGATCAGCCGCGGGACAAGGCCAAATACAGCCAAATACGGCCACCAACTGAGGACGGTCGTTAAATTCGTACCTGGACCCTCAAAATTCCCATAAATTCCAATAAGATTGGCACATTGCTTAAGGAATCATGGTGTGAATTTCCTTGTTCTGGGGCGTGAGGGCGGTGTTGCTTTTCAGGCTTTGGCCCCCTCGGACCTGGCTTCGGCTCCACGAGAGCCCAACCGAATCGCAGGACAAGTGATCCACAAGCTCACGCGCTACGGGGTCGCGGAGGCGGCCGTAAAGCTGACGGTCTACTTCAACAACCTCTCCGTGACCGCCGCCCCTCGCCAAGCGGACGAAAGTCTCGCAGTAGGTGTCCTTTTTAGGTTAGGTTGATGAAAAACAGAAGGCGCTGGTTTAGATGGGTTTGATTACATTTGCCAGGGCCATCTATTTTTTACAACAGGGCACCTGTGCTCACAGCCACGTCTTCAATACTCGGGGATTGAGGAAGGTAAGGGACAATCCCCTTGCCACAAATAGCCGCCTTCTGAATTCTTGAAGCATGGTTCTGGGTGATTGGCCAAAAAAGGCCCGGACTATTTTTATTTGCCATCAAAATGGTCTTTTCAAAACGTTTAAAGTCCGGGGACTCGCTTGGGTGTTCGATTTGCCAAGTTAGTAAGTCGTAACGGTAACCTAGGCTATAACCCACTTATAAGTCCCCCGTGAAAGTGGAGTTCACGTTGATATCAGTGGGTGAAAAAAACACAGGTGGCGCTTTCCACTTACTTACCTGTCGAATCGAACACCCAAGCAGGGAGTGAGTCATGATCAAAACCCGGCAGTAAAAGGTCTACTGAGGAAGTGAGGTGTGTCTTTGTGTGAGGATAATTGCTTCTTTTGGTTCCCGAAGGTAAACCACCCTTTTGGGGCAAATGGGTTGATTTCGGGAGAACATGGAACCAGCCCAGTTTCCAATTTCGGTTCCTTACAGAACTAGTTGTATTGCGTGTTACTCACATGGCCACAATGCAAACCTGGGTAGATTAAGGTTAGGAAGAATCCTAGTCAATGGGTGAAGCCGCCGCCTTGTTCATTCCTTACACGAGGTCTGGGTTGACTATTTTCTTACCAGGTGTTGAAATTCTGACTATGGCTGTGAAATGACGTTCTCACTCCCTGAGCCTCAGCTCCGGTTTTGTTTTTTTTGGTGTTGTTCTATGTGGTTTGGGAGTGGGTCAAAACCAATGGGATCCCATTTTGGGGTAGGTGAATTCACCACCCATTTTAGAACCTATTTTAGTGGGGATTGGGATGTTCACTGGGGTTACAAGCTTTTGACCCATGGCCGTTTGGGAGTATCTCGCCAAAAATCAATCAAAGATGGGCCATTGCACTCACAACAGCAAGTTTGGAGCCTGTTTTTTTGCCCACTCCGCTCGAGCGCAAGTGAGTTCTCCACTCCCAATTTCAGGAAGCCAGAAGAGCATTGATCACTTGGACCAAAGATCACGGAAGCCAAACAGTATCAAGGCACATGCTTCTTTGCGTTTTGCCAAGGGATGGTAGGACTTAATCTTTTTGCCAACTCATGGGTTTTCCGTATTAAACCACTATAAACGTTAAACTTTTAGCAGGCGAGCAGAAAGCAACCGAGGTTTGAAACCAGTCTTAGCCACATGGGGGTGTGGGCTCGAAACAAATAAGCCCAGGTGGTATCGACACCCAACAGCCCCCTTGCACCCACTGGAACCCTCCTTTTGAAATCTCGCTGAAAGCTGGCCCAAACCAACCCGGAGATCTAGGCAGAAAGCGACCCCATAGCTTCCAGCTGTTCAACATGGGTATTGTTCACCCCGGATTCTATATCTAAGTATTCCCTGGGATTCAAGCTACCATCGAATCAATGGTTCATAGAACCATCAATGGGCAAACAAATACGCGCTTCAACCTTCTTTGAGCAGATGGGGTCTAAGGCCGGCCTCCAAAGTGGTGGCCTCAGGTTCACGTCAGACGTCAGGTGGGGGAGGGTTTTGGGGGTGGGGGTGGGGTTGTGCCTTCTACGGGGTTCGGGGGTTCGGGTTTGGTTTGGGGTTTTCACTAATCCTACCAGCACCCTCCGACTACTGCCCAAACGGCAGTAGATAGAAACTTCCCAAAAACGACCGTAGTTAGAAAAACTACTGTCAATTGTTTTATTTGCGGGATGCCCACAGCCTAAGTACTGCTAGCTACTGTTTGCAACGGGGAGATGCCATAGCGGGGGTGGTAGCAATCAAGGGGTGGCAGCAAGTGCAGCAAGCGACTCACAGCCTGTCACCCCTGTCACCCCGTGTCAGTTCGTGTCACCTGCGTGTCACCCCGTGTCGCCCCCGTGTCGCCCCCGTGTCGCCCCCGTGTCACCCCGTGTCGCCCCCGTGTCGCCCCCCCCAGAACGACAGTAGATCGCTGCGAACTACTGTCGTTTGAGCGTGTAACCCCGTGTCGCCCCCGTGTCGCCCCCGTGTCGCCCCGTGTCGCCCCCGTGTCGCCCCCGTGTCGCCCCGTGTCGCCCCCGTGTCACCCCGTGTCACCCCGTGTCGCCTGCGTGTTACCCCGTGTCGCCTGTGTGTCACCCCGTGCCACCGTGTCACCCCGTGGTCTTGTTTTTCACTGTTTGGGGCCACATGAAACGACCGTAGATCGCGGATCTACTGTCGTTTATTTTATTTTCGGAACTACTGCCAAATACCCGGTAGTTCCGAAAATAACATTTAGACGGTAGTCGGAGGGTGCTGGTATGTTTTAATTTTGAGACTCTGATTGTTCAGAGGTCGGGGGATTTGGCACTGACCAGCCTAATGAGCGGTTCACCGAGCGGCCTTCTCGGAACGGAGTAACGGAGTCAGAAGAAGGCGCCTTCCTTTCTCGCCGACGGCTCCTGGATCCAGGATACGAAGATATTCCCGTCGAATGTGCGGATGGAAAGTCGCTTAGTCCGGACTTGAGGGTCTCTTGGTACTTTCCAAGGAGGTGCTTAGTCGACCACTGTTTACTCCCCATGCTCTAAGACCTGTTGGAGGTGTTTGGGGGGAGGCCTTCATACTGTGGATGGACGATGGTTTTTCTTTTCGCACCACCTTTCAGAATCCCGGGAATGATTCGATTCCCTTGCAATTACCAACGTACAACGTTATGGCTTCGACAATGGATTCATTTCGTTCAGCTTTTTACTTGATGCCACTCCGGAGTGCTCCAGGTGCAAGTTGAGGACCCGACGAAGTAATTTATTAGGATCGAAGGTCTTGTAGTTCATGCATGCAAAGGCGCGAGTTTCCGACTCTCTATGCCGGCTGAACATAAACATTTCGTTTTGTGCGTGGATGACTCGCAGCCATCCGGGCTGACTCCTCCGGGCTGGCTCGCATGCCTCCGAGCCGAGCCGCGTCGGCGACTCGAGGTGAGGAACTCCCGGAGAGGAAGCTGCAGCAGCTGGAAGACAGCGCCGTCCCAGGCGAGTCGATCCGCTCCAGCCGCTTGTTTTTGGTTGGTTTTTGCCTCCCGGGGTCATGTTTTTAGGAGCCCCTTGGACCCGAAACTTGAGGACCCTAAAGCCCCCAAAGCGCACAAAAGGTTTAAACTGTTTAAACCGCGTTTTCGTGGGTGTGACCTTTTTTAGAGGGGACACCCCCCAACATAAAAAACGACAGGCCTCGGGGCGGTGAATTCTTGTTGGTTTCCATTCAAATCCACCCAAAAAAGTGGTTCCTTCCAAAAAGACTCCCAGTTGGTTCTGAAGCAAGAACACGGCCGTAGCTTTAGCCGTAGGTCTAGCTGCTTGGGGTTTAGAGAACTTTTATGATGGTTCGTCTTTTTGATGGAACCCCCATTCTTGGATAGTTATAAGGGGAAGCCAAAAGGACAACCACATTTTTTTGGAGGGCCCCTTTAAGCAAAAACAACCGAAACGCCCATATCCCACTAGAAGTTTAACTTGCACGGGATCCGCGAAGCACATTCAGCAATTTGCCAGCTCAAGTTCTACCCTTATGCTAGGGTCTTTTCCCAGGAACCGTGAGGGTAGGAAGAGGTTGTTCCTCCAAACAATCTATGGATTTCAAGCAATCCTAAATAAACCAACATAATGCAAAGGATTTCAAGCAATTCTAAATTCTAAATAAACCAACATAAGCAGGTTGTATCTCGAAGTACGCTAGAATTGGGTGATTCCCCAGAGGCAGCAATCCCAGATTGTAGGCCAACCCTTGGAACGAACCAAGAGGCCGGCCTTACGGCCTTACGGCCTGCGTTTTGCTGAGCTCACCCCATCCAAGTTGACCGCGCAAAAACGGTCCGTCAAGGGTTCAAATCAATTCAACGGCTAGAGTTGGCCCAGAAATTGTGGTCATTTGGCCAAGCCACTATGGCCATGATTCCTGGGTGAATCATAGCGACCTCACACGACCTCACCCCAAATGGTGGTTTATTTGGGGAATAGCCTCCCAACCACCATATTTTTGGTGGGTGGCCCCCCTGCCACACATATTCTTGTTGCCGTCGCAGGCTTCGCCGCGATCGCGGACGTGCCAGCCAGAGCTGTGCCGCTTGATGTTCAGAAAGAGGGGCGGGCGACGACGTCTCGTCTCGACGGCCCCCGTTTGGACGAGTCCGCGTTGTTTGGGCATGTGTTGGGTGTGGCTCAAAAAATAGGAATCGGGTAACCCCAACATGGCTTGGTGTGGAGAATGGGCAAAGTGGACTTAACAAACCTGCGGTTCGCCCCCCAGCTGTTGAATTTTGCACCCTTTTTGCGCGTTGTACGCCATCTGAATCAATGGCTTGGGACCTTGGGATCTCAGGCGTTTCGCCGTAGATTTGGTTCCTTTGCCGGTTTGGTTCCACTTAGGGCCATCCCGTTGGGGGTTAGCTATGGGTGAAATTTCCACCAGACCAGGATATGGACAGCAGGGTTTGGTCCGTTCCATTTGCCAGGGTAGCCGTTTGGGGTTACCCAATTCTTGACCCAGCCATATGGCAGTGTATTTTCAAATCAACCCAGCCATATGGCAGTGTATTTTCAAATCAGGCAGTAATGTGGTTTGGGGGTGGTGTTGGGGTGTTGGATGACTTCCTCACGTTCACGTTCACTTTCCGAGGTCCGTGAAATTCCTCCAAGGGCCTGCGGAGGAGGACGGCTCAGAATTGACATGGAAAGAAGTAGCATTATTATCCTTTTTACATCGTATTATGATTCCTGGTAGTCTCATGTTCAATCTCTTTATCTTGGTTTGTATTATTTACCTTTCTTTTGTTTATTGATATGTGGATTGTAAGAATGCGTTGGGACTCCCTGAGTCCCAGTCACCCAATTATGTCCCTGCTCACCAATCATTTGCTAGCTTCCGGGGTCTCTTCGTGATTCTTGGCTGTAACCGTTTCTCGAGGCATACTGTGGATGGACAAATCCCTGCACCCACTTTGAAGCCATGGGAAGCCATTGTTTTGTTGTTTTTACAGGGGAGTCACCATTCCGTTGGGTTTCTTAGGTGCGAAATGGATTTCGCAACCATCCACGGTATCAGCCTATGAAACGGGCGTTCCTTTCCCTGTGCACCTACCTAGAGTCTCCATGAGCCTGTAAAAAAGGGGTCATTACCCAAAATAAAGGGGTCATGGACCCATTTCTAAAGGGTCAGCAGGAGACTCCAGGTACCCCAAAAAGCTGCCAACTGCAAGGACTCGTTTCGATGCAAACGCAACTTGTGCTTATTCCTTCCAGGCTTCTTGGTGCCCGACTCTGGGCGCAAGTTACCAAACTCAGTTTTCCAAAGCGAATCGACCTTTTGAGCTTTTGGCTTTCCCATTTTGGTCCATTTTTAGTAGAGGTGCCAAAAGGTGATCACCTTTTAGTTCTGGGTCCTTTGGGCAACTGAGAGAAGGAGACACTGGACTTTGGGAGTTCTCCAAGCTAAGAATCAATTTGTGCCGATTGGGATTCGAACAGCCTGGACATACCCAGATTAGCCCTGACTTGCTGGTGGCAGTTGGGTGTGGCCCAAAATTGCACAGAATGGGCAAACCGCAGGTTTTGGTCCATGTTTCCACTTACCAGGGTTCCATTTTGGAATTCCGGTTTTTTGAGCTGGTTGGAGTTGTGATTCGGAAGCGACAGGAGGGTGAGACATCCGTTTCCTCGCCGGCCTCAGCAGATAGCATCTCAGGCGCGCTCACTCGATCTTGGGATGCGGGTCAACACGGGGTCCCGCGTTTACAGGCAACTGCGAAAGTCGTGTGCGGAAATTCATCGCCTGGTTAACTGAACGTCAAAGACGTTGTGCCATATGTTTTATGGATTGTAATTGTAAGTATTTGGACAATGAATGAAAGTAACACTCATGAGTACCATGTTTGGAGACCCTGAAAGCATAGGTACAACATAGTTTCCAAGTCCTCCAAAGAAGCCAGGCATTACTGCAAGCTATATTCCAAGAAGCCATGCAATGTAATGCTTTTGTTCGACGTGATGGTGTCCTGCAGATCTAATGCGTTTTCCTGATGAATACAACCCTATTCGTACAGGGGCTGTTGTGTTGATGTCACGGAGATTCTAAAGATTTGTGCAAATGATCAAGATAGATTCGGAAGCCTTTGTTATAACTGTGTGCAAACTAGTGAATGACTTCATACCGGGGGAAGTAGACAAACATGCTAAAGTCTAAACTTAGTTGTTGTTGTATCAGTATATAATTGCATGATACTGCATGTTCATCCTTGTTGTTCCAATCTCTGTTTACTCACATTGTGTGTAATTTGTCATGCCTGTGGGATACTGGTTGCCTTGCACATCCTGTTGCATTGATGCATCATCCTTCATTATATGAATCAATGCAGCAGTAATATGAAAGGACATGCATAGATATGCCAAGTGATGAAGATGTGTGTCTTTGCCATTATACGTTTTACCTTTCATCATCTCTTGGCTTGCCATCTTGCAATATTCGTTATTCCACCTATTTGCAAAGCTTTGGGAATTACCTGTATATTTTTTACCCTCAAACTTTCAACTTTAAGATGAGGTTATTCACCCTAACATTATGGAATGGGTGAATTCCATTTCATATTTTATTTGATGGGTAGTTCTGAAACGGGTCCAGGTACCTGGAGTCTCCTTCTGACCCGTACAAAGTGGTGGACCCATTTTTAAAGCGCCACATAGACTGCAGGTGGAAAGAAGGTCCAGGTCAACAACCCAACACAACAGCAACGCCTCAACACAGCTCAACACTCCAACAACCCAACAGCCCAACAGCCCAACAGCCCAAATCTTTTTTAGGGGGGAGTTGGGTGGGGGATTGGGGTCGTTTTGGCCTCCGAACGTCTCGAGGTGAGGCGCCCAAAGCGGTGAGCGACTTGAAGGTGGTGGTGATGCTCAAGGCCCCAGGCGACGCGCGGGCGGATGGATGGGGCGAAATCGGCCCTGTTTGGGGTTCAAAACTGTGGAGTCTCCGAGACTGACCCTTAAAACATGGTGGGGGTGAGGGTGGGGGTGGGGGTGGGGGTGGGGGTGGGGGTGAGGGTGGGGGTGGGGGTGGGGGGTGGATGGGTGGGGGTTGGTCATTACCCAAAATCACAGGGGTCATGGACCCATTTTCGAGGGCCACGGAGACCCCAGACTTGGACCCCGAAAATCCTACCAAGAGAGGGCTGCTTCAAAATCCTTGGCAGACATTGGCTGGACCCTCAAACTACCCGTCAAACAAGTTGGAATTCACCCATTCCATAATTTTGGGTTGAACATTTTAAGGTTTTTTTTTGGGTCCAGGTAGATATAATATGCGGGGGTTCCATCACCCCTGGTCTTCTGAACATCCAGCAAGACACATGCTTCAACAAGCGACTAGTGCTTCCATTTTCTGGGGGCACCTCATGCTAGAAACGATCCATGAGTGTGTGTGTGGTTTCCCTTTAATCTGATTTTCCGAGTTCCTGGGCTTTATTTGTTTTGGGTTTGGACCATTTTGGTGCTAAATCAAAAAGGCCGGACCTTTTCTTTGCCAATCCAGCTTTAGAATCACAAACAAGGGTACCCTGTTTGGGGTGGTTTGAAAGGGAATCGAAAGGAAAACTCAAACGTCTCCTATTTGAGACAAACCCATAAGAATATATAAATATATATATATATATATTATTTGTAGTTCTTTGGGTCCCCAGGTCGTCCCCTTCGTCTCACTTCGTCTCGTCGGCCCTCCCCATTTGGTTTGGCACTTGTTGGGCGTGCATGAGCCTGAGAGAACCCTTTTGCGTCATGTTTGTAAAGAGAAACTAAGGGAAACACATCATTTGAGGGGTCAGTTTCAAGTCACACCCATTTGCAGGATCCCCGGAAGACCTTTCCGAACTCTTAACGCCTTAGGCCTTGAGGAGACATGTGCAAAATAACGTAAGGCCATCGTTAGGTGGGCGAGCTTCGCGTGTTTCGATTTCGCGTGTGAATCGCCTCAATGGGCTGAGGGGTGAAAGCCGCATGGGCATCCTCGAGCCTCCGGAAGATCATGTCCAACGCTGAGCTCTTCTCCAACCAGATCGCGGAGCGCTGGGAAGGGTCAGGGGGAAGCCTGGAGAAAGCAAAACTCCTGGTTGATTGATGGGCGGTGTCCCGTTTTAGAGCCTCTAGAGGGAATTCATCACTTTTGGAGGGAACAACCCCTAATACGAGGGGTCAAGCTTGTGGTGGGGTTGTAGTTGGGGAACCCCATGAAACCTGGTCGGAAGTTTGGGTCATGCGCTGATCGAAACCCAGGGCATGGGGTTTGGGAAGCTTGGCTTGAAACTCTTTTTTTTTTCCTGAAAGAGTTGGAGCCACTGGGCCTTGAACCCTTGTCCAAAGTCCAAGACAACCTCTTTGCTCCTGTTGGTTTTCCTGGGTTTGGCCTATTTTAGTCAGCTGGCCATTCTGGTCTGTTTTAGTCTTCCTTTGACCCTTTTGGCTTTCTTCGCTTGGTTCACTTCTATTTGTGGGTCCCGAAGGGGCAACTGCGTTCACGGGATTTCCATAGACTTACCCCAACCACAGGACCCCTGAAAGGGTGAAGTCCGGGTTCCCACATGGGGGTCATAGGGACATGAACCATCATCCAAGTTGAGAAACCATACCACACGACATATAACCCACGTAGTTGACGTGTTAAGTGGGGATACTGGCCACTTTCCCTCAACAAAACGTTTTGGACAACGAATTTCTAGGCTCTCCTCCAAACGTGTGTATATTTCAGCGTGGCCAGGTGAAACAGAATGTAAAATTATGTGTTCTGTGTGGTGCAGGGTTGGCCCAAGTTGATCTTCACCCTATCCCCCTTTGTTCCACGAAAGAGTTGGGGGATCCCCAGCCCTTCAAAAACGGATTTGGAGGGGAGAGGGGATTTGTAGATAAATGAAACTGGGGAGCCCGTTCTGGTAGAGGGCGCTTTGGGGGGCCTTTGGGTGTGAGGGATTTGTGAGCCTTCTGGTTGCAGGAGGTGCTTGGCAGCGTGCCGCAGATTTGGCTACTGCTGGTCAAGGAGGGAGAGCCGCTGGGCCGCAGAAGGCTCCGAATCTGAAACAAAGCCGAAGTGGCGTCATTTGTTCGTTTCGGGAGGGGTGGGTGGGTTGCACATCCAAGTTAAGAGGCTATTTTACGGGTTGTTTGTCATTTTTGTTCCCCCAACTTCAGATAGAAGGACCACCTTTTTCACAAGGGCTGCGGCATCAAAGTGGGGGCTTGGATTCTATCCAGTGCGCGATCCGCAAATCTTTGGGGGACATTGGGCAGTGGTTTCGGGGATCTACAGGACCCATGGGAAAAGCAAAAGTCGCAGGCTTCTCCCCTGAAGGACATTGGAAAGCAAGGGCTCTGTGGTGTTTTGGGTGAGACCATGTTGATACACAAACAGTTTGCTCTACTGGTTCTGGCCCATCCACTTGATCGTTGAGTAAGGAGATCATGACACTTGGAGCTTTTTGTCGCCATGGAAGCATTTGTACTTGAAGGGGCGATCGGGTACGTCAGGTAAGTTGTTAGTAAGCCAGGTGATAACCGAACCCACAGAACGGAGACTGAGAAACCACGGCGTTTGTGGGTAACCTGACTTACTCACCACTTCCCTGACGTACAATGCCCCTGGGATCTCCGAGCCCCGGAGCTCCTGGAGTCCCGTTTTTCTCTTTGGTTTTGGTTTCAGGTGCACAGGGGTGCAGGGGGGAGTCCGCCATGCTTTGCCGAGGGGGGGGGGGAAAAGGAGGGGTGCAGGGGAGCAGCAAAGTGTCGCTTTGTTTCGGGATTTTTATTACAGGGAACATGTTCAGAGGTTCAAGCAATTGTTTGTGGGACCTGGCTGTTTCCCTTTCAGCCACCTTTGTCGGTCAATTTGGAGGATGACAGATTAGTGGAGCCAGCAGTGGCCAGGGTTGTTGGAAAGCATGTTGCCTGAGTAACACACCCCCCCCCCCACGTAGTATTCAGGGTGTCTTTCTAAAAGAAACGATTTCACTAAACAGGGACCCCCTGCAATAAAAAGTCAGGGAGAGGATTAATCGGGGGACAGCAACAAGACGTTTTGGACGGATCCCCTGCAGCTTCCCGGAGCTTCTTATGTAGGCCATTAATGACTACTTAAGCCCTCAAAATTCCTACAAACACGGGTTATTGCCCCACCATTTATGTCCGTAGAAGCAGCAGTCGATGGGCGAAGTGGGCGCTTCTTTGTTTCACTCTCTCGCGCCTGAGGCCTTTCACTATGGTACGCGCAGACCTGGAGGTGCAAAAAACAACAAGCCGACGAGTTTCCTGGCATGGGATTTGTTAGACATCCGGTGGAGGTCTAATCTGCAAGTGAACCAAAACCATCTAATCGCAACTTCACCAATCGTATGCCTCATGGCCTTGCCACTGGGTTTGGACCATGGTTGACTTTGGACAAAGGAAGAGAACGCGCTTGCAGTTGCCAATAGGTAACGCTTCGGTTTTCTGCACCTGTCTTCACAACAGGACCCAAAATGGCTGGTTTCCTGTTGGCTCCTCTTTCAAACCAACCAACCGGGGCAGACCCACATTGCTTTCCATAGTGGCTGGAAGGTTTGGCTTTGGTTTTCCTACCGATGCATGAGGCATCATTGATTACAAGAAGTCACGGTTGGACAGTTGCCATAACGGATTGCTGAAGCAGATCAAACCTGGCTTAGCAGATTCGACCCAAGTTCGGTCACTAAATCCCCTTGCGCGTTGGCTCTCAATGAGCTGCGTAAACCGGGGGATCCAAAGCAATTGAGATGGGGGTACAGGCCCCTCAACCTACCCATAAAAAAGGGTTTCGCCCTATAATTTTGGAGCAACAACCCATTGTCAAGTTGGAATGTTGAGGGTTCAGCCACATACTTGTCCAACGGCTTCTCTTGCACGTCTCCGAAATCCGGTTGCTTTTCCCAGTCTATTCCCTGCCCCTCCGAAAAACGGGCCTGCCCGTCTTGAGCCGCGGTGTTTTGAGCGGCAGGAGATGGACATCCCTCGGGAGTCGGAGAGGGCGCAGTCCAAGGCCTTGAGAATCGCTGGGTGTAAGGACCTCAGCCAATAGAATTAGGGAGACAACGACCCAGTTCTCCACTGGTGGCAAGCCCCATTTTCCCGACCAAAGACTATCCATGTTTTCCTATGAAGACTAGATTCATGGACCCCCCACTCCCGATTGAACTGGGCGCTTCTCGCACCACCTAAGAACCCAACGGAAAGAATCGGTTCGCCGGTAAATATCCACAAACAATGATTTCAACCATGGTTTCTCAAGTAATGCGAAATAAATTTCGCAACCATCCACAGAAAGAAGGGCTTTAACGGGCAAGTGCCAAAGTAGTAGGTACGGGAATCCCACTTCAATCATGCTGAGTGTAACTGGTGCAACATCATCGAGCGGCTATGGACATAAGACCCAATTTCCGTGACTGTTGAATTTAAACATCTTTTTTGTCACGACACGTCGGCGAGGGTTCAGACAATGGCTCTGATTGTTTAATGGGGAACCCTTTGTTGGACATCAATTAGTTTGGGATTCATGGTCACCAACCACTTTTGAGGTGGTCGGGGTTTTCGGACCTGCCGTTCCCCAACAGGGTCACATATTCATTCGACCCGTGTTGACCCGCCCCAACAAACCAAGAAGCGATCCGACCGGAGAGGTGCTATGGCCTTTGGCCTGATTAGGCGTAATGTTGACCCCCCCGCATGTTCATCAACCCTAGTTTCTGAGTACTTGGAGTCTCCATGACCCTTTCAAAAATGGCTCATTGCCCAAAATAGAAGGGGTCACAGAATAACAGGGTCATGGAGAGGTAGGGGGGTTCCCCCCCCAAAAGTGATGATCCCTCACTAACCCCAGGGACAGTCAACATTACCCCCTAACCCTTCAGCCTGGTGGATGGCGAGTGTTGGTCCCCTTCTCTTCACGGCCAGATCTCGGAGATCGAGGACTTTGGGCAGCGCCGGGCTGAGCTGCATTGCCTCACGGTACCTAGGTTCCTGGACTTTTGGCTGTTGGGGAAGGCGAGTTTAGAGGCAAACAGCCAGCGATTCAGTTTAAGTTTAAGTTTTCAAAAGGGAAACCAAAGGAGTTTGTGTTTTCTTCAGATTACAAAATTGGTTGGCGCCCTTAAAGATGTAGGGAAGCCTTCATAACCATGTTGGTAGAAGCCAGAGTACACCCATATTCCAAAGACCAACCTTTGCAGAACGTAATTCTGACGCAGAGCGGGCTGAGCGCAAAGCCATGCAAGACAGGGGACTCCTATGGCGACAGCTCGGTTGCTCCCATGCCCGCGGCAGCGGGCAATGCGCACCCCAGCGCTTTCCTGAGTGTCCTCAACTGGGCGGCTGTCATCACGTTGCGGTCATGGAGCGCTTGCTCGTCACGATGGGGCGGGCCAGCGGAGCCGCACGCGGAGCTGCCAGTTTGCCACTCCCGGACTTCGGAAGATCTGGCGCCCGCTCTTGCCATGCTGGCGCCGGGGCTGGACGAAAGCTGTGCCCAATTGAATGCCAAGCCCGGGTTGGTTTTAAAAGTACCCCACAACTTCGTATTCCGAAGGAAGTAGGATTTTTAACAGCCCAGATTCTCAGACTGGTCGGAATTATCATGTCACCCCAGATATGAACAACGTGTATAGCCTGATCGAGTCAGGTTGTATGCATTTGAGGCCCCTGAAGATTCAAATTTCCTATTGACCAAAGGGTGCATTTGTTTTCGTAGGACGTCAAGGTGTGGGTCGGATGCGGGCTCCCTTTCAATGTTACAAAGCTCGGCCAATGAAATCGAAACGGCGAATGCACTTCGCTGTTGTTGGCATGTGTTTAGGTTTGTTGGCTCTGTTCATTTTTAGTAGAGAGCTGCAACAAGCATAGTATTTTGTTGCCATGCCATGGGTTGGAAAGTAAAATAAGCCCCTCTTCTTCCGCACAACATCCTGCACTACGAAATTAGTTGAAACCATAGCGTTTGTTCGTATCTACAGGGGAATCGCATCATTCCAGGGTTTGTGAAAGGTGGTGCAAAATGGATTTCGTCCATTCCTGGTGCGAAATGGAATGTGTCAATGAACAAATCGGTGTGTCTGGGTTCCTGAACCGGCTTTTGATGTTGATTCCAATGGCGCGATTGCAATGACTTGGCGCTTGCCAACCTGACTTTAGATGTCTAGCACGTAGAATGATTCATGACATATCCCACTAAGCCTTAAGTTGCTGGACTTTAGTCGCTTTGGGGGGTTGAGCCATTTTCACTGGAAGACACAATGTCTAGGACATTCTTAGGAAATGAGCTCAACGATCCAAATTGTTCACTGCTTTTTTCCGCTGCGGGGTCGCCCAAGTAGGCTTTGGGGTGGTTCAGCAGAGAGGGATCCAGAGGGCTACTGCTTGGATGTTCAAAGTGAGTAGGTTGCAACCAAGGTAGCTCGGGCAAGTCTGGTAAGTGGGGTTAGTTGGCATACACCGCCGTGCTTAGAACTTGAACCTACTGACCTGACGTGTTTGTTTTGGGGTGCCACGCGGACGGAGAACGAACGTCTCTCCGAGCCTCTGACGGCAGGCCCATCGACACCGAGTTCCTGGAGCTTCGGAAGAACCTCATGTGGCAGCGGCCATAGAACCCCCATCGCCTCCCGGGAGGTCTGAGTCAATCACATCGGGCTTTGGTGAAAGGGGGGATTCAGCCACAAAACAAGCTGCTTGGCGTGCACTGGTGGCTTCTTGTGAAAATACCAATAAACCAAAGGTCCTGTCTTGTGGTTGAGGGTTGGCTGATTTCCCGTCGGGTTTCTGTGTAATGTTGACGCAGGATTCAAAAACCCCTGCAATATGGGGATCGGGGCCTCTCCAGAAGTGATGAACCCCCAACTAAAAACAGGGACACCCCCAATATTGATAAATAGGATTTAATACTCTAGGGTTGGCATTAAATATGGTCCTTGTTTTGAGGGTCCCCTTTTTGGGCTTATACGCAAACCAATGGGAAACCACCCTTTCGCAGGTTCCCCTTTGAGACAAACCCATGTGGCCAAAATGTCCTTTTGTTTGTGGTTGACTTGGGTAGGGGGTTCCCGGACCAAGTAGTGTGTGCCTGTGTGTGTTTTGTTTTGCTATGACCAGAGGACTTGCTTGCAGTTTTCTAGGGGTTGATTCCTTGTCTATTCTTTTCAACCATCGTTCTTTTCAAGAACCGGCTGTTTCCCCTGGGTTTTTGAGGGTTTCCTGAAAAGATCCGGATCCCTGGATTCAGAATGGTTGGAAGGTACCCCTAGAAGTTCGGCGGTTTGGGCGACTTAGGTCAAGACCAAAGAGCATGCAATATGCCTTCCACCAGATTGGCGAGGCAGGGCACCTGGCGACGGCCGGTTTTTCCCGATCGCTGGGACCCGGAGTTGCTGCATTTGGCTGTCAAGATGAAACCAGGACTCGGACCGCAAGGTTCTAGTCCACGTTGCCTAGGGCAACCCATTTCGGGCAGGGCTCACCGAGCTGGAACCAAACGAGACCCTGTGGTTGAGATCGTCGGGGGCACCGGGCACGCTGCAGCAAGTCAGGGATTTTGCCTTGGATTTTGGGTTTGCTTTTTGGATCCTCGTGTTGCTCGTGAGAACCGTCTGAGGCTTAGAGATAAGACACCTGGAGGTTTACCTATGGCAGCTCGAGGTGTTGGGCTTGATTCGTCGGCACATGTCATTATCTCTGAACTCTATGCGAGTATGTGTCAAAATGGGGGGACCCCAAACATGGTGGTTCTTCTTTTGGTCTCCCTCTATGCCCGCCAAAAGAGTACCCTCAAAACAGACGAGCCCTAGATCACAAACCACTCTTCAGTGATTTCTCGGCTTTTACACCCTCGATATATATATATATATATTTCCCCCTCCTCTAAAAATGTGTTTCGCGCAGAACCAAAGGAAGACCACCCGAGCCGCGCCCGTAGCGCAATTCAGCTCCAAGCCAAGCCAAGCAACTCTACTCAAAGTCAAGCTTAGCGCCTCCCCAACAACATCCTGAAACTAATCGCTCTTTGAGCCTAAATGGCTGTGGGTCAAAACCAATGGTACCATTTTGGGGTAGGTGAATTCACCACCCATTTTAGAACCTATTTTAGTGGTTGGATTGAATCGGTGTTCACTGGGGGTACGATTTGGGCTGTTGACCCATGGCCATACAAGAATAGCAGTTGCCCCGTGGTTTTCTCCAGGTTGCCATGGTTAATTGAATCACGGATCACTGTGAGACCCCAGCCTAAATGAACCCCAAAGAATCCCAAGACCCCACCCGAGCCTTCAGACCGCAGGTCAATGCGAGGGCCATGTGCGAGGGCTTGGAGATGGCCTACAACGCGGATCACGCCAGGATGGATCCGCCCCACCTGGAGGAGACCACTCCCGGACGTCCATTTGCTTAAGAATATGTTGTGTGTTCCCCTGTTGGTTGTAAAGGGAGAGACCAGAGATGACCATGCTCAAAAAAACAAAGTGTTTTGTTCCCTGTTGGTTTTACGGGGAATCTGTCACTACTGAAAATATTGTCTCATCTCTTTCTGGGGACTTCAGCAAATGGAGGTAGATTACCACAGGTCAGGTAAGCGGTGGATATACCTGGTTATGATACTACTCACTCCCTGAGTTCCTGGACTTTGAGCTTTTTGGGAAGACCAAATTTAAACCATTTAGACGAAAGCGTTTGGGCTTTTTTGTGACCAATCCACTCAGGAAGTGGGACCAAGCCCCTTAGGTTGGGTGGGTTATATGTATTCCACTAAGATGCCCCAAGTGAGTAGGTTTAAGTTACGTACAACTGGTTTTTAGGTTGCCATTGCTTGTATGTACCCATGGCGGCAGGTTTGAGACGGTGGCAGCCTCTGTAAAAGCGGGCAGTCAGTTCGACTGGTTTTGCTGGGTCTTGGGAAGGCTAGTTTGGCGGGATCCCTGAAAAAGGGCCGCTAGTCTTAAATGAAACAAACGTAGACGTGGTGGACCCTCTGTGAGATATCAACGTTGGATTCCCATCCCAGTGACTGAAGGGGATTCATTTGGCTGATTTGGTGCCATCTCAAGTAGCAGCTAAACCTTGCTTGGCAAGTATCCCCCATAGAAGTGGGCTTTACCCTCATATTTTGTCAGACATACCTACCACCCACGGGGGCCAAGAACCAACCACGCAACGGTCAAAACGCACACAACTTAACTTCCATTTGAAGAATATGCTCTATTTTCCCTTGTTGTTTTTTTGAGGGAATCTATCACTACTGGACAATTGTGATTGTTTCCAAGGGACTTAAGCAAATGGAGGCTTAACTTCCCGGTTTCTTGCATATTGTTTCAGAGCCACGGGGGGAGCCATTTGTTGCTGACAAACGTGACTACGAGGTTCCATTCTTCGGGGCCTTTTTTAGGGGCTGAATGAGAGTTTGAGATTCAGAGTTTGTGTCAAAACAGAGATTTAGCGTCGTGGAACCCCCCAAAGACTGTGGCTTTCCCTGCGGTGTTCATGGTAAACCCAACCTTAACAAGACTGGCACGAGAGAATTCACACACACCAAGCGGCGGGTTTTTTCGCGAGGAGATCAGCATTTGGGGCTGCGGCATCGGCTTTTTGGCTCAATGGGGGCGCTTCTTTGGTTCCCAGGTTGCTCACTGTACTTGACCGCCATTGCGTGGTGGTCGTTGGGAAACATCTTACATGTTTGCTTATTGTGGTTTAGTGGTTGAAATCCAACCATTTAAGTGCTAACATTTCAATTTTTGCTCCCCTTCCAACGTCAACCAAGATTGGCTTGGATCTTTAGACTTTAACTTTTTGGAAATCAAGGGAGGGGTTGTCCACTAAACCCACAAGAAGTTAAAAGCTTTTTTTCAGAGGGGTCGTTATAGCAACCAAGTGTATGGGTGTGTCTTCTTTGAGGTCGGACCCCCAAGGATGGCTTCAGTTTCGCTTTTGGTTTCCCTTGAAAACCGAGCACAAAGGGGTACGCTAAAAAAGACACACCTTTATATTAACTGTTGGAATATGGTTTTGGGTTTGTCCCCAACAGGCCAAGCTAGGCTCTGGAGTGGATTGGAGCGGTTGAGGGGAAGGGTTCCAGAAAGGGAATACCACCTGGGTTGCAAACAACGACAAGAGCTTTGCTACCATGCCAAGGGTTGCAAAGTTATATCCCCAGTGGAAGCTGCGCTGGGTCTTGCCCTTTTTACCCCTCGAAAAAACAGACCAGCATAAGTGCCCCCTTTTTTCACATGGCCTCTGGGCGTCGGAAAGCTTCCGGCAACTACTGTTGGGAAGCCATGATTCGTGAAACCTACAGGCAAGAAGTTACCTCTATAGCATAAAGTAGGGAACCAGGGTCTCTTACCTCTAGGTGCCCGGGGGTGCCTGTTGCTGCCGACCCATGCACCCCAAGCTGAGCAAAGAAGACCCGTAACATCAAATCACAGCAAACACAAGAAGCAAAACAAACAAGCATCAGAGCAAGATAACCCACGCACCGCATCCTGCAAATCGAAGGCAAACAGACAAGAAACCAAATCAAAGCAACGGCTGCTTTGTCGTTTCTTTGCTCCTGTTGCATGCCCCCATTGGCCACTTCATATTACATGAACACGTGTTTGCGGATGTTTTTTCTTGGTGGTTCCCAGCCATCGCCTTTGGCTTTGCTGTTTTTAGTTGGTTGAGTGGGGGTTTCCATTTGAGACACAAGTTGAGCCTTTAGCAGGAATCAGTCCAGTGCTTTTGCTTTACATGGTGCGCAGGTCGGCGCAGGTACCAACTTAAAGAAAAGACCCTCTACGAGTTCTGGCTTTCGCCATGCACCCCGACTTGCTGTTCTCTCATTTCATCGGCCCTTCTTCTTGTGCCCAAGCAAAAAACAATCGGACCCGTAGCTGTCTCAACAATTATGGGTGGAGCTCATGTTTTTCTGGGGTCCCTGTTTGGTTGTTACATGTATTACTTGAATGTTGGCGGAATATCAAACGTCTGGGTTTCCTTGTTGCATTACCAGCAACAAGTGACCTTTTCTGCAGGCGCAAGTCTGGTATTGCCACGAAATACAGGTAGACAATACGTTCTTTGCTCCTTTTGGTTTCCACTCGGATGGCTTTGCATTCCAACTAACCCACTTGCCCGAGTTATAACCTTGGCTATAATCTATTCACAGAATAGGTTGAGACTCCAAGTATAAGTATAAATACAAACCTATTACCAAAAGCTGATCCTTTGAGGAACTCTGTATTTGGATGTTCAACCTGAGTAGCTTTTCACCGTGATTTTAAAGGCAGACCCCAGTTGCTTGACACATACATGCATATACGACCAGGGTTACGACCTACTGGGCAGGTTGTGGTCACATGTGGTCACAACCTACCTGGACCCTCAAAAGTACCTTTAAACATGGGTTAGTGCAAGGAGAATTTGTGTTATGAATTTTTGCAACTTGCTGTATGGGCAGTTCTTTCGGGTCCAGGCACTTACCTGACGTGGGTTGAAAGCATCCAGGCACGTAATCCTCCACAAGGTGCCAAGCGAGGTGGCTAAGTGGGTCGATCACTCCCCAACTCCGGGCTCAGGCAACGGGGGCGCCTGCGCGCTGGCGCAAGCCTTCTCTTTGGGCTGCGGGCAGAAGCCCTGGCCTTAACGCGGAGGGCTCGTCGTTTTTTTTTTTTTCGAGGCTCGGGTCGTCGCCTCCCAGCAATGAACGAACCTGACAGGGGGTCCCGAAAATGGGCTTCCAGGGGCAAACCCATGTTTCTGTTTTTTGCTTTTTTTGTTCGGGGGTAGGATGTTTGGGAGTTCGGGGTCCGAGTGAGACCCAGGGGCTTGGCTAAAAGTACATCCGGTAGTCTGTGATCCATTTGGGAGGTACGGGGGTGGACTCACTAAGTGTTTCGCATCCCAGAGGACTCATTAATCCTCGCATGTCCTGTATGGCAAGCAAGTATACTGAGGTTGATTCCCTCTCGCACGAATACATCTCTCTTTTGGATTCAGCACCCTTGATTGTCCTTTGGTGCAAGCGATCTGAATCCGCTTGCTAGAGCCTGTTTAGGGGCCCCTGACTGGCCGGAGGGTAAGTGTGTGTGCGTGTGGTTTTGCGTCTCATTCTACCCTATTTTACAGTTGGTTTACTGGGGCATACAATGGACATTCACAACTTTAGTATCCGAAAGGTGATGTTTAAAATCACCAATATGGCCAATACAGTGTTCCTTAAACGAGGCAGTTTGATCTGACAGCTCATTTTTACCAGCTCATTTAGAGGACCAATTGAGCCACACTACAGCCTTGGTATTAAAAAGGCTTCCCCATTTAATCATTTCGGTGCTATTATTTTAACCAAGTGGGCACCCTTTGAACAGCATGGTGGGTATTGATGTCCTCCCACTTTGAGATGTCTCCCTATTCAAAAGACTGGATCGGGTCGAAAACCCAGGCTGCAGAGCATCATCCTGGATGAGAACGGTATCGGTGCAGCAGGCCTGAATGCTTTCCGATGAGGCAGTCAGTCCTTGGATGTTCAGCCAACGTTTGGTAAGTTGGTCAAAATAATGGCTTTGTATGCCAACTAAACCCAGTGTTACCCCATGGTTGCAACCTACTTAGCTGACAATGGTTGGACCTCCAAGTCAGACTCCCCTCAAGACGCCTACAACCCCCCCCAAGCAAACATGGCTGGTCCTAAATCGCCCCTTCGTCCTTTTGGCCTACCATGAAGCGTACAGAAGGTATCGACCGTTTGCTCAGGGCATGGAGCAACCCAGAGGGACCCCGTATTCGCCCGGCTCTTTGACAACCTGTGGATGGTGAGGTGTCACGGTGTCACCCTCATGTTCTATGTTATTTGCTTAAGAATAGATCACTATTGGACATATTTGCGCATTTGTTTCCCAGGGGGCGAAAAAGCAAATGGAAGTTTAGTCTTCCATTGTAGTTGCCTTTACAGTCTCTGGTGGGGATTGCTTCGAGCATTCCAAGTTGTCAGGAATCCTTGTTCTACTCTTGTGCTTGAACATTTCGGAGGAACACTTTAGTCTTTTTTTTCTTACGCTGTTTGGGACCTTCCAAAGTGGCAGTGTTGTTGAAACCCAGCAGTATTGCTTCAGGAATTGCCGCGTGATAGTAAACAATTACCATAACTCTCCATCATCCAAACAAGAAGCCAAAGGGGGGTATGTGTTTTCCAACCCTCTATTGAGAACCTGGTATTGGGTGAATATGTCGAATGGCAGATTCCGGAGGACCATGCTCCGCAGGCCCCCTCCCCAATATTCAACATGGAACAACTCCTCATGAACAAGTGGGATTTGACCCCAATGGGTCTGGACGGATTAGTCTGAAGGCGACATTGGACGGTCAGGCTCGGCACGGGGAATGACCCAAAAGAGGGACCTCTAGATTGATTTCGTCCCTAGGTGCTGGCTTTCATGTACATGAGCAACGACGGCTCGAAGGGGGTGACATTAAGGGCTTAAGTTGCCATGAGATGTGGATTACCATGTCAGTTAGGGGAAAGCTGCTGAATATTGGTTGCGGCCCACAACATGTAAAACGGGAGATTGCACCCGTGATGGTGAATTGTAGCGATGGCTGGTTGGTATGATCCAACCCCTTAGACTCTTGGACCTTTGTGTTTAATATACCACTATCTAGTTTAGCAATAGCTGGTGTTCCAAAGCGTAAGAAAAGCAACTACAAGAAAGATGCATGGTTGTTCCAAGGATGGGGTTTACAACTATCTTGGCAGGCTTGCAGCCACTGGTTTCTTGAAGGGTAGTTATATTGGTTCCGTGTACATCAGGGACTATGCAACACCCCCAAAGACCCCCCAACGCTTCGGGCCCGAACCAAAAGCCAATCCAGGTGCCAATGCCAAGCCTTTTACAAACAAGGCCAAAGGGTAAACACGGCCTTGCTATAGGTGGTCTTCGAGGGTTTTTGCAGATAGTTGGATCCATTGAAAAAGGGCAAAGTCCATGCACCTCATGGAAGCCCGCTCCCCCCCGACTTTGCCTGTCCAACCCCAAAACCTGGACCCTCCAATGTCCCCGTAGAACTTGGTCATTGCAACCCCAAATGAGGGAATTTGTGGGTTTTCCATGTTTCTGGGTAGTTTGAGGTTTCAGGCAGGTTATTTTGAGGGGTGTATGGTACGGAGGATGGTATTGTGGTTCAGTATGGTTGGTTATTTACTTGCATAGGATAGGAGGTGGAGACTTTCCTAGGATTTCCTATAGCTTTCTCTCTGTGATCGAAAATCCTCCTGCGTATCCATGCAGGTGCCAAGGCTCTCGGTGCGGGTCTGCCAGCCTGCCCCAATTTGCGCGCGCGGGGGCCGAGGGGCTCCGTTTGTGGGGAGGAAGGGAATGACTGAGGAAAGCCATTTGTTTGGGACGAAATCCACAGGTTTCCTGGCACATTGCAGCCCAAAATGGTGGAATTTGTGAATTCCAACTTTTTTAATGGGTCATGTTGACTCACCAGCATATTTTTAGTGCCCTCCAATGAAGGGCACTTGACGTGTCTTTGAATCGAGGGCACTTCAGGCTGTGTCGGTGGCCTAAGTGACCCTTTGATTCGTTTGCTATGTGCTCTTTTTGATTTGATAGGGGTTGGGATTCTGTTGAAATCGAACAGCTACACGTGCCGAAGTGTGACGACTGCCACATTTGCTTGGGGCCGACCCGGAAAGCCCGAACATGGAGTTTTTAGTGTCAAAGCGTGTCTTTTGAGTGTCAGTGGGGGTGCGAATCGAGGTCACTTACCCCTTGAAAAGGTCACTTACGCTATAGTGTCAGTCCCCCCTGCGTGAGTGTCATTCGCGTGTCGCTGCGGCTCGATTTGCCCAGCGTTGGCCCCCCCCCCCTGTGAGTGTCATTCGCATGCACGTGTCGCCGCGGCTCATTTGCCCGGACTGAAGCGGGATCTGCTGGGAGGACTAAATGCCCTTATTTTCAAAATGGTTCATAGCACCCAAAAAATGAATCGAGGGCACTGAAATGAAGCTTGCATATGAATTTCAACCCCGGTTTGTCATAGGGGGTGCTTCTCCCTGGGTGAAAGGTGGAGAATCAGATCTGGGGTCAACATCATTCCACGAGCTTGGTTGATGCCCTGACATTCATAGGTTCATTCCCTAAACCCCGTTGCCGCCCTGAGAATTGACAAGCTGAGGAAGGGTTTCCCAACTAACAAAAACAAAAGCAAAAGAAACATGGGTGTGGTGTGTCGCCCAAAAAGGTTCCTAGTTTTGGCACACACACACACGCACACACACAGGAGCACGCACAGAAGCACAAGAGTGGCATCCGTTAGCACCATCCAAGTGACCACCTGAACTTGGACCCGGGCGTCAAGAGAGTTGCCACGCCTTGGTTGCATTCGTCAAAGGGCAGCGAACTTGTCAGAGAATGCCGACGGAATGCATGGCGATGAAAATTTTCTGAACGTTTGCGACCCAGCCCTCGAAGACGTTTGTTTTAGTTTGGAAGGGGGAGGGGGACGGGGGGTCCAACACCAATCGGTTGTGTCGTCAAGGCGAGCGGGTTCCTCGGGTGCAAGGCCAACTTTTCCGGTCCATGGGGGGGCGTTCCCATCCCAGTCCTAAAGGGAAAAAGTGGAGGACTGGAATGAGGATCCAATGCTCCCCTGAACTTATTTGCGCTTGCGAACCGACTTGCTGGCTTTTCAATGTGAGTCACTTGTGAAGCCCAACCAATAGGTGGTCACTTTTGGTTAGGTCCTTTGCTCAGGGTGAATATTGCCCTGTGGGTTTCATCGCTTGGGCAGATTTAAAGCGATCTTTCCTTGGGCCTAGGAGCTGAGTCTGCCGAAGAACCCTTTGGGCAAGGGCTTCTCCTCCTTGCTGCGCGGCGACTGGGCCTGTCAGCTGGCGTTGGTCCGAGGTCCGGGGAGTGCAAACAAATCGTGGAGGTTGTAATGGGCACAGGATGAACCCGTTGGTTCCCCTTAGGGGACGAAGAGTTAGCGGTTGAAGTTAAACCTGTTTGCCAACATCGATCATCGTTGCGTTTGGCCTTCCGCGAACTATTGGGCTTGGGTTACGGTCGCTTGTGCAAGGGATCGTGGATTTAAAGTCCGCAACATTTCAGTTCCTGAAGTCCTAAATGGTTGTAATAAGTCTTACGGGGGGAAGTTGTAATTGGTCTTTTTGGAGAACAAGCTTAGAGAGTGTTCAGGTACCCTGCCCTGTTTAGCAAGTGTTTGTTCAGCATTAATCAGCCTCTTAGTTGAGTAGAAAGGGTGTGTCCAAGTTTTGGACAGGATCCTATTTGCTACGCGGAACGACCCATCTAAAACAAGTGTCGACCCAGGATTTTGCTAGATCCTGGCGGATTTAATGGGTACGAGTTTCCTTTGAAAGGAAAGACTTTGATTCACCCGAAGGGTTGTTAGTCCTGGGTTTCCAATAGGGTTCGAAAGCTGTAGGACTCTAGCACCTTTTTGCCCGCTTGGTTTTTCGGGTCACAGGGTCTGAAACTTTTTGCCGCGTGCCGCAAGCATGTTTTTCTTTGAGTCCCGACAAAAGACACGATTCTCGTTGCATCTCGTTGCCCTGCGTTATCATATCTTTGCCTCTTGGAGTTTGCAATGGATGCGCTTACCAGAAGAGCACTTCCTGAACCTTCAAACGAAAAGGGAGTTCACCCCATTATTTTGAGGCAATAACCAATTTTGAAGGGGAATTATGAGGGTCCAGGTTGTCTCCAGGTCTGAGTCAGTCCGGTGGAGACGAATGCCCTCAGGTTTTGAGAACCCTGGTATTTACAGGGGAACGTTATCTTGGCAGGGTGTCTTAGGTGGTGCAGGATTTCGTCCACCCAGTGTAGGCAACCCCGTTGCCAGGCAACCCCGTTGCGGAAAGCCCTCCATTTGCGTTCCGCCACGTTCCAATCGACCGCCAAACCTTGCTCCGAGGTTTGGGGCCCACCTTGAAGGTCTTGGACGCTGCAGAGGTGCCGAAAAACGAAAACGCATCGATCGAATCGATGACGACTCGGTCGGTGGCTGGTCCCAGGTATTTCCCCAGGCCGGTTGGCTGTGGGTTGGGGGGCCAATCAGACCACCTTTTTTTTTGGAGGCATAAGCAGGTGCCCAGTTTTTTTTCCCGTGGCCACTGGGGCTCTGGATTTCCTCTTGTGCTGGTTTCAAACATTTCCGTGTTGGCTCATAGGTGAGTTCAACTTGGCAGGAGCGATGTTGCCAGGGAAAAAAAGGGAACCCTGGTGGTTGTGGAAGACGTTTTTGGAGACAAGGGTGGACGAATTCCACTTCGCACCAGTTGATAGGTGAGTGATCCTAGTACCAACATTCATCCAAGTACCTTAGCCCCCACACAAATCCAACTTTTACAAATGGTTATTGAAACCCAACATTGTGAGGTGAATGGTTCCTTCTTATGGGTAGTTTGGGTGCATGTAGTCGTTTATGGTCCACTTGGGGAGCTGGTGAACTGATTCAACATTTTTCACCTTCAAGCCCGGGGACCCGCCTTGTTTTTTCTGTCCTTTAAGGGAAATGGCGGGGCACTTTTTGGCTCATTTGGCCGGCGGTGCTTTGGCCGTTTGTGGAATCCCGAATCTGAGTTTGTCGGAAAAATTCGATTCGGGTTTGCCTTGCCCCAGCACTACCGTCTCAATGCTTCCAGTTGCTTCTATAGCAAAACATCTAGGAAAATCCATCATGTAAATCCAAGAGGCAAGAAACCCTTGTTACCTAGTACATGGGAACTGACAGCACTGGTTTCCTTTTTGGTACTTTTTGGTTCCTCTTCTGGCTTCCCTCTACCACTCAAAGCGCTCAAAGGGTGTCCACCGTCTTCAGACCCCATGTTCCGGTTGTGCTGTAGCTCGCTAAAGCACCACCCCACTCTCTAGATTGGGGCAATGGTTGTTTCGGGTTGATATGTCTTCATGGCTCCCAGATGTTACGCCCCCTTGGTTTGAACTGTTCTTCGTTGACAGGTGGTCCTTGGTTTGTGTTGCGCTTCTTTGGTTTGCCAGGCCAGCCTCGATGACGCTGCCGCTACGGCTATGGCGGGCGCCATGCCGGGCTTTCCGCTGCTCAGGCGAGACCGAACAAATACCTCGCAGATTCCAGCGGTGGAAACTGGGTTCCTTCGGTTTCTTTGTTGCATTTCTGCTTGCTGGATGTTAGGCCTCTTACTTTTTTGCCGACTAATCGGCTTTCCATTAAACCACCAAACGTGAAACTTTTAGCAGGGGAGCAAACAGCAACCAAGATTTGGCTTAGTTGAAACCCGTTTCCGGTGAGCCGCAATCAACATCTGGGTAAATGAAGCGGTTCTTTTTGGTTTGGCTTAAGTTGAAACTCGTTTCCGGCGAGGCGTAATCAAAACCCGGGTAAGTGAAGGCTAGTAAGGGACAGCGGCCGCCTGTTTCAGTTTTTGACATTGGTTTGAGTAGACCCTGCTACTGCCAGATTTTGATTGTGACTCGGGTAAGCAGCGGTTGGACATATTGCCACGTTTCCAGTTCATGTCCCCAAGCCCTGTGAAGACAATTGGCTTGGATTGTGCTTGTTTGTCGGTTTTGGGGTGTCCCGAGTTTTCTTTGTGAAAAACAATAATTGGGTTGATGTGTGTGTTGGTTTCCCCTGCAAACATCATTCTCCCCCCTCCCCCGCATTTCAACCATTGTCACTGGGGGGGCTGGAGGTTTGCTTTCGAACGCCGGGGGCTGGTTCCGCTTGAAAATATTCCGTTTGCTGAAGAATGTGACATGTTTATTTCCCTGTTGGTTTCAAGCGGAGTCTCTCATTGCTGGATTTATACATATGTATATTCGATTATTATATTTGTTTCCAGGGGACGTACTTGCAAAACATACAAGCACCCCAAAAGAAAAGAATGCTCCAGTTTGTCCTTTGGCCAGAAGAGGTCTGGGATGCATGTTCCCAGGACCCCCGCCACCCCCCGGCAGATAGTCCTGATTTCCTGTGCACTGTTCATGGACCCGGCTCCGGGGATGACATTCACGAATTGTTCTGTGCTTGAGCAAACCTCAAGCTGCCGGACTTCAAGCCCTTGGTCAAGGTATCAAGATCCAGTGTTCCCATTCTCTAAGAGCGTCGCTCGATTTGAAGAGTCTTCGGTCCAATACACAGGGGTTCCGATTGCTTGCATCAAGGGGCATGCGCGCAAGGAACCCATTTGTTAGAACTCCAGTTTGAGACCTCAAAAGTGCCAGCTTACAGGTTCAACACCTATAGACAGATATTTGGTTCTAATGAAAGCTCCAGGGATGCTCAGGTGTGAAGGTGCTTCGATAAAACAAATGCCAGGTGAACTGAATGGGCTGAAGTCGTTGGTCCATTGTCCCTCTCTGGGCGTTTGCTCCCTAGGTCAACTACCAAAACAGGTGCCGTTTTTGTTCCCATGAACATTGGGCTCCTGGTTCGGGATTGGGATTTCAGTTATTTAAGCACGCATGTTGTATGAGCGGCTTGAATCGGGCTCTTTGTGAATTACCATTTGTGCTCCAAGGGGGCAAGAAGCAGGCTTGCTCTCAGAACGGCTTGTGCTGTGATTCTCACTAAATCGTGCTGGCTATAGCCAGTTGGGCAACTGGTGGCAACTGGCAAAGTGGTTGTTGGTTGGTACATACAGGCTATCAACGATTTGGACTGGTTCATTAGGGGAGTGGCAGCTCAACCATGTTTCTGACAAGGTTGTAAGAAGCATATTGCAGGTGGAGACTTGACCGCAATGTGCAGGTCGCTGAGGCTCGCCGGCAATGCTACTTGTCAGAGTGGCCGCTTCGCGCGCTGCCCAACAGACGAAATGCAGGTTGAACCTGGATGTTCAACCCACTGCTTGGTAGGTAGCCATGGATGCGAGCGGGGACGAGGAGATTGGTTAACACAGGGTGGAGGGTCCCAATCCAGTGGTCACCAAAACGTTCCTTTTTGGTTTCCCTTTGTCCTGCCAAAACCGCGATGCATGGAATTGCCCGCTTAAGGCACGCTCGGTTGAACTATATATAATCTTGGGTTTGGTTTTACCAACGAGACCCCGAACTAGTCACAGGACGCCCATGATTTTTTTGTTTTTTGTTTTTCGGCCGTTTGAAAGGCACCCGCCAACAAAAAAGGTGATCAGTGCCAACAAAAATGGGTTGGTCAATGCTGAATTTTGCCGGCAAATTCGGGGGGGCCGGTTGACTAGAGTAAGCTAGAGTAAGGGGTGCCACTAGCTTGCCAAGCTGTTTCCCAGTTTGATAGCGAATGGCACAATTCCAGAGCCTGACAACCTCCCCTGCGACCGTTACTGTACAGATATCCGGATATCCTTACTGAGGAGGCTTAGTAAGCCAAGCCTTAGTCGCACGGTTTTTCTACGTGAGTGGTTCCAGGGGCGAGGAGTGAAGGAAGCGCTGTGAGGCCATACAACCCCCCCCCAAAAAAAAGAGAAGAAGTCAGGCGCTTCGCGAGCCTTACGTATTAAGACCAAGTAATACCGCACAGGACCGATCAAAATCTTAACAGAAGTGGTTAACGTGTTCCCCCGTTTTTGCGTTTTAAAATCACCCAGTTTCCTGCAAAAGATGCCTACATATTTGGAAAAAGACCCTATTTTTCGAGGGGGGGTGCCTAAAACCATCCGCCATAAAAAGATGCCCGAAGCACCGGACACGGCAGGCAAAAACGAACGTATTAAAAAATAAGAAACTATTATATATATGGAGGGAATTCCCTAAAGCTCTTAAGGAACCTGGGAGTCTCCATGACCCTTCAAAGATGGGGTCATTACCCAAAATAACGGGGTCATTGAGCCATTTTTTAACGGTCATGGAGACTCCAGGTAGGGAAATCCAGGGACCATCCCCGGCGTCTCAACTACCCA